GACTTTCCACTTCACACCTGATCCCTCTAGAAGCATGGCATTTTCTTCTGTTTCAGTAATTCCCAATACAAGCACAGTGTGAATAACTTTTCCTGAGACCAAAAGTCTCGCCACCCCACATTTCTGTGCAGTTTCTTCCATATTCATGACTTATTCCTCCAAGGAAATTCACATTCCTCACAGGTATAAATAAAGGGAGGTCGGATGAGACCATTTAGGAGCAGAATCTCCTACCAAAAGAAGTGATGTTTTAAAGAAGCAGTAGTTTTCAATAAGCTGATGATCTGTTTGTGTTATGCTTTAAAACCAGAAACACTAAGCAAACTTCCTTAATTACAGTAGCAGCTATTACGACTGTGAACATGAATCCTTTCTTTTTTCCTTCAGATAGCACTTTGAATCTCTCAACACTCCTGAGTAAATACCTCTTGTCCTTTCAGATCCTTAATATATCAGCCCTTTAGGGAGGAATTCAAATTTTAACTTCAAGGCCACAGAGGTGCAGGACAACTCAGAGTCTGCCCTATGAGAGCAAGGAGGACAGGTGCAGATTTAATTTTAGGGAAACATTTCTCTCTCCTCTGTCTCCCTCTCCCCCTTCCTCCTTTTCCCAAGAAAACAAACATTTATTTATTTCATGTATCACATCAGGAGTCGATTCCCTCTTCTTTGAAAGAATTGACCAGCTTATTCCTCATCTGCAGCTTCCTAAAGTAATCCCTAGACTGAAGTGCTGTTTCCATCAGCCCACCCAGCAATTACCAGGAGACAAGAAGCACCCTGCAAAAACTGTGACAGAACAAAATAATTTCACAGTGATTTATTAAGCATGCAGCCATTAATGACTTTGCAAGTATGGAAAACAAGATAGAGGGGCACAGCCAGAGCCAACATTAGCTGTCAGAACAACATTGTCATGTACTGGGTTAGAAATATTTAAGCCATTTGACATTTCAGCCTGGCATCCCAACATAACAACAGGCCTGGAAATAGCAATAGATTTGCACATTGAGGCGTCTGTTCAAAATCATAGAGCTTGACAAAGAAACAGAAGAAAGTGTGCAGAGATGTTTCTTTGCGCAACATTGAAAATAAAAGACCACGATCTCCAAGAGCATCCTTCTAGCGCATCAGCTGTACTGTCAGGGCTGAAGTACAAGAGGCAACAGCCACTTCACTGAACCAAAGGGTGTTTTGATATTCGTTTGCAGATGTTATTTTTGTCCTTATTGTGAAAAGTCCCTTTTTTCTCTTGAACAAAAAGTCACCTTGTGATGTACTTGGAAAAAGTCCAAGGAAATGCCAAGTTTCTGCAACTTCCACCTGCTGGGAGCAGCAGGTGCTTGGCCCTTGCCGTGGTGAAGCTCTTGAGACAGGTTCTGCCCTCAGTTGCACTAGTGTAAATACACCACTTTTGCTGGCACTGATCGAATTATCCCAGATGAAATTAGAAGTAAGCAAGAGTATTTTTTTTTTTTTTTTTTTTTGCAGGAACATGGGATTACAATGGTAATGTTAGAACAGATCAATTTTGCAAGATGGCAAAAGAACATACTGATCTCACTGCTGTGAGCTCCTACTCAGCAGACAATTGCATCCCATCTTAGAATAGAGTTTTTAAAGTGCTCAAAGCAATGTGCAAGCATTAACTTCTAATGGCTTAAAAAGGAATTTTATAATGCTAATGTCTTCGTATTACAGATATAATGCATCTAGAGAGCAAAGGTTTCTGTTCAAATCTGTAGCAGCTTTCAAAGCTACCTGGAACCAGAATTTTCCATTTAGGCATCTCTAATTTCAAGACTTCAGAACGTGCTGCTGGGAAAGATGGAGGTTGATACGGCCTCTACTTTAGAAAGGCCTCTGCAATTATATTAATGGCCCATCTAAACTACTGGTCTGTTAGTCAGTTGTGTATTTGCAAAGAAAACAACAAATGAAACAAAGGTGTTCAATCAGTCCAGCAATTTAGCAAACACTTCCCTGCCATGCTAACAGAATACAGTGGCTCCCACTTTACTCTTAGCTACTGAAGTTGAGAGCACCTAGGAAACCCAACTGGCAGGAACTTAGTGGTCGATCACTATTCCCAGAAGCAAGGGTTGGGTACCACCCACTCATGCTGAAGGAGGCCGAGCACAGAAACAAGGTAAAAATGGAGTGTTTCCAGACTTTTTGGACCATGTCATGTTCTTGCTTTAGAAAGATGTACCTGATAAATGCCCTGGAGTTTTGCAAGTCACAAAAGCAGCTTTCTTACATTGATCCATTTTTCCTCCCTTTCTCACAGGCATAACCAAAAAATAAAAGTGTGTGGGAAAGGGAAGAAAAACCTAGAACATTCTTTTCAGACATGTCTATTATTCCACAATTCTCTAACCTAATCGTAGAGTATTTTGCACTATTCACCTTTTTTCCCCACAATATTCATCATTACTTTTACAGTCAGCACTTCTACATGACTAATAAACGTATTTTAGGATAACCTACATCACAAGAGTACCTTTCTGTCCCACTGCTTTCTCTTTCAGAATTTACTCCTCTCTCCCCTCCTACTCAGACCTTGTTAGTCCTTCTCTTGTTCCTAATTTGAAGATCTCGGTGAGCAAGAATTACATGTCTCAGCAATAAACATGATCTCACAGCAACACAAAGAGGATGAACAAAATAAAAATTACTGTCTGGTGAAAGCTCCCTTGACAACTACAGCTACACTGACAGGCGCCACTGAAATAATAGGAACGATGCTTCAAAACAACAGCCAAGAAAACGTTATGAAAGAGAAAAAAAAACAGTCTAAATGGATCCTTTCAAATGCAGATTCCACTGTCAAATGAGGAGAATGAGAAAAATGTTCTTTCTTATAGCACCGTCATATTTAAACTCTGCCAGACAACAGAAAAACACTAAAAATGTGAGTACAACCTGAAAGATCCTGGGCCCAACAGTCCATTTCAGGAATGTTAGAATGATGCAGAATGGAACAGAAGGATCATATTTTGGGGATGGAGAGGAGGATGGAAGGCATTACCTCATTACCAAATCTGGATTTGCTTCCAGCTGGGTGAACAATAGAACTCATGTCGACTTCAGCGCAGTATCAGGCTTGTATCTGAATAACTACCACTACCTAGATGACAAACTGCATAGCAAAGAAGCCAAGGGATTAATGAACATGAAAAATTATGGCCCGCTACTAATGATGTTCCATCCAAGACAGAACTAAGGCAACACTCACGAAGAAAGGTTGTCTACAGGTTTGCAGAGGCAATTAGGAAAAAGCATTAGCCTTCCTCTGTTGGTAGTGCTTAAGTACAAAGGAGTTACTTAGGCCCTTTTTCCACCTCAACTTCACAACCATAAAATGGGGAAAATTGCTGTAAGCACCAGTGTGGTCAGTTATCTGGTGCTCCAAAGGTATTTCAAAAGCATGACAGGGATCCTGTAAAGTCCTGTAGCAACCCCCAAACTACCTTGGGCTCTTCAGCAGGCAGAAAATGCAGCTTCTTGGAGCAGAGGGGGAGATCCAGCTGCACAGAAGTTCCTGGCTAGACTGAGTCAGAAGTGGAGGACTATGGAAAGAGACAGCAGAGACCATGCCACAGGCAGGGTGGAAAGGAATAAGGTTCACAGGGTGAGCGGCGCCTTGGTGTGGTACATGTTGTTTTCTTGTTATTTTACATCCCTTTTGTGAAGTACTACTGGTAACATGGCAAAGATTACTGCCTAAAAACTCCAGTTACAAATGCATAGGCAACACCCATGTTAGCAGAAATAGACCCATTTCTCCTAGTACTGAATGCACTCAGAGCTCCAGAAGTTTGGCTTAGGCTCTTGGGCTTGCATTCCTCTCCAGAGGAAAATGAATTCTGCAGAAGAGTCATGTATTTCTCCCCCATTTTATTCCACACACTCAAGACACCTAATAAATTTGCTTTGACTTCTTATTCTTCCTTAAAACAAAGGAAAGACTTAGAATCAGAAATACGTTTTTGCTCCCCGGTGGCCTGGTAGAGACATGTGTAGGACTGTTTCCCACTTTTCTGTAATAAGATTTAAAAAAAAAAACCCAAACAAAACAAAACCCAGAAGAGATTGCACAGAAAAAGATACAGGGGCTCTGCTATTTCTTGCCAGAAGCTCTGAAACCAAAAGTGCATCAGGACTGACAATAAAAGAACTAAATAGTTACACAGACAACAAGAATGTCCTAATAGTAAAGAAAAACAATAATCAAAGTTGGGAAAGGCATGTAAACTCTGAAGACAGAGCCAGCCAGCCTTTTAGTACTCACTGGGAGCAGAAAGAGACTTTTGGTCAGAGGCTATTCGCTATATACTAGAGTTTCTTGCATGTTTCTTTATAGCGTGAACATACAAAACAAAGTCAGCAACAGACTGCATGGCTCACTAGTCTGCTCCACCACGGCAATACCACTGTCCCTGTGCTTTCGGCGATAAACAGACTGCTTGCGCCCAAATCTGAGAAAGCTCTGGGTTTCCAGCCCTGGGAAATTCAGACGTGGGTTAGTCTTGAGAGAGGGAAGAGTCAGATTAAACGCTCTGATTCAGCCACAAGGCACGGACAGTTCCCAGAGCCAAACCCGGGGATGTTGAGTCCAGCATTTGGGGGTGAACAGACTTTTTGCTAAACCGTACTACCAGTCTGCGTGTGAACTGGATGAGCCAAACCCCCAGCCCAGGGCAGCAAAGCAGCGCTGCAGCCGGACTTATCCTCGCTCCTCCGTGCCACGGACGCTGCACTGAGCTCCCAGCACTGCACGGGGGGCAGAGACCAGGGGAGCCCCCCATGCTCCAACTCACTCCAGACACGGAGGCCCTGCCAGTTGCACCCCCCAGCCCAGCGCCCCCCAAACTCCAGACCCCAGCGGCAGCAAACACCTCTCCCTGCCCTCCGCTGCGCTGCATGTCAGAGAAAAACAAGGCTCAGCCCAAGCCACGCCAGCTGCCGAAGGGGAGGAAGAGCACGGAGCCACTTACGGGGATGTGCACTCGCAACGTGAGTTTCTTCTGGCTGGAGCTTTTCCTGCTGCTGGAGGCATCTTTCTTCTTGTCCATGGCAGTGCTTCCCATCCCTTCACTCAGGCGTGGTGCTGGGCGATGGAGCTGGAGAGGGAGGCTCCTCTTCCACCTCTCCCCACCGTCCCACCGGCCGCAGTTACTCCAGGCTCCTTATTTTTTTTTTCTTTTCTTTTTCTTTTTCTTTTTTTTTTTTTTTTAAATGGCCTTAGGAAATGGGGAGGGGGGGAGAAGCAGAGGGAAGGGGAGGAGTTTCTCCAGCTCCGGCCTTTAATCCCAGCGGCGAGGTGTCAGGGGGGACCTTGTCAAGAGCATGAGATGCCCTTACAGACGCTGCTCGCTTTCTCACTCTTCCGCCCTTTCAAAAATATCCGGAGCATCCTGGGGGGGGGGTGAGAAAGTTTCCTT